TTTTATCGGTCCCAGCCGCGGTGTAGAGTGTGTCCCGCCTGGAGCGACTTTACCCAGGGGCCATCGGCAAGGCTTTGATTTCCGACCTCACTTCTCACCAAGGTGGTTTTTGTTTCCTGAGTTTTACCCAGGGTAGGACCACCTGTGAATTTGGGAATTTAAAACACTGCAGCTGATGAAACATCTCTCTAGTGTGGCCCTACGGATCCCTTTAAACTGACACACGGGGCCACAGAAACTCTGGTTCTTCATTATCAGTGATCTGAAAGCCAACGCTGTGTATCCCATATGCTTTCTCAAAGATTAGGGACTAGACCGAAGATTAGGACTTTCAAAACACAACTGTGATACTGCAAAATCGGTCCGGTTACTCAGTTACTTAAAATAGAATTTAACTCAAGACACCAGTAAGTATACTTACAGGTTTGGACATAAAGCTGATAAAAGTTTTCTTAAAATGAAACATTACAGGTGGAAACAGGAAGTTTGAACCCATCCATCCTATGGTAGAGCATGAATGAACATACTGTAGCAATGGTCAGACCTGAGGGTATAACCAGCCAAAAAAAAATGGGCAAAGTCCCAGGAAATCTGGATTCTATTTCCACCTGTACCATTAGCTTAATGGGTGACCCAGTGCAAGCCATGTGGCATCTCTGGGTTTCCATTCACAGAATGGGTTGGAACACTAAATGATGTCCAAACCCAGCATTCTGTAAATCATGACTATTTAAACATGAGAGGGCAATGCAGTTATTTCTCTGGCACATTAAAGAAATGGATTTAAACTGATTTTCTAATTCTGGGTTTGAAACTTTCTAAACCTGTTGAATTAAGTACCATTGAACCACAAAAAGAAACTAGTGTTTTTAAAGGTCTGCTTTTTAACTATTTAATCTAGGAAATCACATTTCCTCTTACATATGTGCCTTCCCAAATAGGATTGACATAATATGTTAAAAACTTTAGGTTGGATGTGGTGGCTTACGCCTGTAATCCCAGCACTTTAGGAGACTGAGGTGGGAAGATCGTTTGAGGCCAGGAGCTCAAGACCAACCTGGGCAACAAAGCAAGACCCCTGTCTCTACAAAAAATTAAAACAAATTAGCCAGGCGTGGCGGCATGTGCCTGCAGTCCCAGCTACTCAGGAGGCTGAGGTGAGAGCAAGACCTCGTCTCTAAAAAAAACTTTACATGGGAATGGTTTTACTTGGGAAATCTGACCATATTCTGGTTTGTGGTTTCCTTGGAGAAGTGGTAATTATTCCTTGTCTATGCCTGCCCAGGGAACTGTTCAGAGTCCTGTTGGTAAATTACAGCCCTTCTGCTAAATAGATAGCCCCCAGTGTTTTAGCTTTGACGCTACGGTAATGAGTCAAGATGTAGAGGGCTAAAACTAGACTTGTACTCCTATAACATTTGTACTCCTGAAACACTTGGCATAGGGATGGTGGCAGATTTCATGTTGAAATCAACCTTAGGACATCATCAACAATTTTATTATCAACACCCTACATGTATGTTGTTATGAACTCTAAACACTAAGGATCCTTTTTCTTTTATAATCTTACAAACCACAAAATATACACATTGTATTACTCTTAAAGCTTGGAATAGCCAATTTTTCTAATTGTAATGCTAGTATTTGGTATCTCTTCTTTCTCCTATTTACCTTAAACATATCTAGACCAGGGTGCTTCAACCTCAGCATTAAACATTTTGGGCCAGAGAATCTTTGTTGTGGGGGCTGTCTTGTGCATGCAGGGTGCTTAGCAGCATCCCTGGCCTCTATTCACTAGATGCTAGTAGCATCCCAGCTGCCTACCAATACTATAACCAAAAGACATCTCCAGACATTGCCGAATTTCTGCCAATGAGAACCACTGATTAACTTCAGATATAAAAGCCTATTCTCAATTACTTTTGTAATGATAACATTAATATTATAATATTATTATAACATTATTATTATAACATTATAATATTATAATATAAATAGTTTGTGTTTCCTATTTTCTTTCTTTCTTTCTTAATGAATCACTAAGTCTGGCCAAACAAACGGAGAGCTTCATATTTCAACTTTTCACACATACTCTCCTAAAGCTGGATTTCTTTGGCTTTACTCTCAAGTATAGGCAGATCCAGATGTACTATGTATCTTAGAAAAGATAGCATAAGAGGGAAAAACGTAGGTCTGTACTTTTTTGAATGCATAAAGTGGTAAGAGATATCCTTGAAAACAGCTTAAAAATTTCTGTAGATAACACCATAAATAATCCACACAATAATTCAACAAGCATTTATTAAACGCCCACTATGTGCTCAGCACTATACTAGGCACTCAGGGGTGCAGAAATACAAATGTAGAAGTTATTATTCCTGCCCTCAAGGAGCTTACAATTTAATTTTGGAAATAAATACAAATGTGAAACTGCAATACAGAGTGCTAGAAAATAATTATAAAGCAATACATTAGTAAGTGTGTGGACCACATACAAACCCAAAAGGTAAGTGCTGAGGCAGCACAGAATAATGGAGGTCTCAGTGTGAGGTGAAGTCAATCAGGGAGAGCTCACTCAGAAGACATAAAGGAAGCTAGGCTTTGAAGGCAGTGATGAACTGCCTGGGGACCAAAGAGAAATCTAAGCAAAAAGAATAGCATGAGAAAGGCACAGACGCAAGGGTTTCTAAGACAACAGTAGAAGGCTGTACAAAGTTTGAATGTGATGAATCATGGTGAATATGCTACAGAGTAACAAAGGCTGAGGCAGATTAAGCATGGAGGACGAGGTAATGGAGAACTTGGAACACCATTGCTCGGATAGGAATTATTTACTGTTATACTACATTGAGTGAAAATGAGACATCACGAAAATGGAATTTGAGGAGGAGCACCTTGGAAGCTTTATACAAGATGGAGATCCTGAGAGCAAGAAAATTGAAAAAAAGGAATTGCAGTAACCTGGGCCTTATATGATGTAGATCTACATGAAAGGCTATAATGGGATAGTAAAACTGGGAGACCAAGCCTAAAGAAGAAGATTGACTAAGAACTGGATTGATAGCAAATTTTGGACATGGAGAATAGAGGGCAGAAAAAGATGAAAAGATAACTCTAAGGTTGGTATAAAAATACGAAGGGCAATGAGTCTCTTCAGGGTAAAGTAGTTAAGCAGTGATGCCTATTTAAAAAGAAAATGCGGGTTGGGAGCATGTAGTGATGAGTTCTGTTTTCAAATACCAAGTTGTGTAGGTACCTGTGGAAAATTCCACAAGTCCCACATGACCCACAGGGTGGGAAATACGAGGTTATTCATATACAGAAAGAAGTATAAACAATCCAAATGGATAAATAATAGTATGGAAAAGGTAGTCAATAAAAGTAAGACATTACAATTATTCTCAGTGGAGAGGAGGGGAAAAAAGACCAATAAAGAAAAGACAGAGGCCGGAGAAAAATGACCTAAAAAGATCCCATAAGCCAAAGGAAAAGAGAATTCCTGAAGTGCAGGGGGAATTCAACAGTATGAAATATAAATGACATCAAGAAAGACAAGAACTAAAAAAAGCCTAATAGTTATCCACTGGTGCTTCTAAGGACATTTTACTGGAATGCTGAGTATAAAAGCCAGTAAGGAGAAGTTTTAAGAAGAGATTAATAAGAAAATGGGGCTGAAAATAGATGACATGTTTGAAAAACCAGCAATGATAGAAGAGAAACAGAAAAGGGCAACGAGATTGAAGGTTTTTCACATTTTATGCTGTAGATAAACTTACTGTTGTCATCCTAACTGCCCATCTGCCTGGCCTCATATATGGATATTTCATTTCTCTCCACAATTCTACTTTCCCTTAGGCAGTTTAGAGAGAAATGTATTTGAATCTGCAAGTTATTACTGCTTTATCTTCCCAGTTACTCTTTTAACCATATTTTATTCACATAATTCAGCTTTCTAGTACTACAAAGCATCAACATTTAAAGATATAATTATAACCCCAAATGACATTTTCAACCAATTTTCCAGTATTTTTTATAATGGATTTGCACTATATTGCACATTCTCTTTCCTAGTACCTCTCATGACCAGGGATACATATTTTTAAACAGCTGGCCAGAGTTATGCTGTTTATTATAGCCAGCATAGCACAGTGGTCAGCAGTACAGGCTCTAGAATCAGAATGTATAGGTTTGAATCTTTTCTATCACTTACTTGTGTGACATTGATCAACTCACTCAACTCTCTAAGCCTTAGTTTCTTCATCTATAAAATGGGGGATATAATAATAATACCTATCAGAAGCATGAGAAATGCTTACCATAGAGTTTAGCACACAGTAAGTGGTCAATAAATGTCAGCTATTATTATCTGAAGACTCAGAACCAAGAGTAAAGCTAAACAGTCTTGCATGGGAATCAACCACCACACTCTAGCACTGCCACTTTGCTCCACCTATGATACCTCTCCTATGACTATGTTGGATGGCCAAAGAGTTATGGAAGAACCACCTTATCATGCAAGGTCCTAAAGCAAGAAGCTGAGGATGGGAGAAGCAAGGTGAATAGTCCACTTCAGATTAAAAACAATCTGCAGGATAAAGGAGCTTTAATGTACATCATTCAGGTAAGAGCTCAAAATAATGTCATAGAGACTGATCAATAATATTCTAATGCTAAGAGTGAGAACTTTAGACTAAAAATGACTTCTACTTCTGTCCTCAAAGAATCTACAGCCTTTTCTATTGTCTTACACCACTTGCCTATTTCTATACATGTGCTGAATTACCCTTGATAATGTTTTCAAGAAAGTCTTTTTTTACATTCACTCCAGTGTAACAGTAATTTTTCTATACATATTCATTTCTTTTCTCTGAATTTCTGCCAGATGTTTAGTAATTCTGAGATTTAAGTAATCTGATACACATTACTCTGGACACTGATGCATAAAAAGACATTAGTTTGTATATCTACAGACATTTCAATATGTTGCTCTACTAAAAGAGCACTTCAATGGAATAGAAGGCAAGTGTTTCTCTAAAGCATATGGGAGGAGTGTGTGTGTACATACACATGCACACATCTGCGTATTTTTCCCTCTGACAATGTACCCCTCATATGTAATATTTGCATACAAGGTAGCACTGGCCCCAGGCAGAGTCAGTATCTTACAGAGGGTAAGGCACAACTGAAGCAGAGAGCAAGGACCTAGACACAACCAGATTTACTTGTTTCTGGTTTCTTGAAATTTCAAGTACAAGGGAATTAGGAATGGTAACCTATAGGTCAAAAAAGAAAAAAAAAGGAGGGAGGATAAGAAAATAAAGGATAATGCAAAGGACTGTTGCAAACCAAGATGACAAGTGATGGGTGGCTTCATTCACCAACAGCTCAATGAAATAGATGTAAACAACCTTGATGTTGTTAGTCAAAGTGTGCCACAGGGAGGTAGAAAAGGGATCCTATAGGGAAGCAATTTATGATCCAAAATGTATACCTCTATGAGTTAAGGTTTTATGATTGATTTTTTTAATTCATCAATCATAAAATAATGATTGTTATCCCTTTTCAGTGTGCCATTGTGTAGTTTTGATCATAATCTAAATAGTTTTTTTCTGAATAGGCTTAATAGAATCAATTTCAACTTTGAGGGTTAATTTTGGAAAGCCAAAAATTATTCAATTCTAAGTCTAGTGAATAATCAAATAGAATCAAATGTGAATAATAGAGAGTTTTCTTTTATGGTTTATTATATGGGGATTCTAAGAGTATACCAAATATTTTGAGGATCAGTAGCACTACTAGAATAGTACTTTGGAATAACAAGAACTATCTAATTTAAAGGTTAACCCATATTGGATGCATAAGTTCTGGTATGTTACTTTAAACCAGTCTCATTATTTAATACCATATTCCTTGGGATACTGAAAGCCTCAAAGATGAAACATAGTGCCTGGTGATAATGAGTTTAATAGTTTGTCTTTGTTGGTAGATTACATTTATGGATTATAGATAGAGTACACCAGGATTCACAAGAATGAGGAATTGTGAGGTAAGGTATTAGATTACCACTATGGATATTAAAATTATATAAACTGATAGTGAGAAATAGATGGAGAATAATGAGTGAAGTGCTGAGGCCATCTAGGAAGTGGGTCCAAGGTAATGACAACAGTGACAGACCATCTAGTCAGGGAGCTTGTACAGGCTCATAGGAACCTACAAGAGCAGTACTATAATGGGCCTAAAGGGATTAAAGTACATTCTTTGTAAGGATTTTTGTCTTCTTCAAGCACCTGTCTCTTCCTCCTCCTATCTGATGCTATAATTAGGATAACACAAATATCTATTTGTACCACAGTGTACAGTGAGGAGGTGGAAGGAGAGTCAGAAGTCACCGAAAGGGACAATTATCCAAGCTTAAGAGCAGCTGGGCTGAGTCTCCACTCACCTCTTTCTCTGCATCACTCCCATAACCACCATTAATGTGTCCATTTCCTTTGCTGACACAGGTACTGGGACTGGGAGCGATGAAGGATATGTACAGATGCTCAATGACTGAGTGGAGTCAGTGAAGGAGATATATGAAGTAAAATACTTGAGTGCTGTTAAAAATATAGCATTCTGAGTTTGCATGGGAATACGGATTTCCACTGACTAGAAGGAACATTAGAATAAAAAAATGCACGCTTAAGCATAAATACATTAAATGTCTATAAAAATGTTCCTAGAACTAGGATCTTAGAAAGCTAAATATAAGTTTCACATGGAGGCTGCTTTGGACTCTAGAGCAGCTTCTTAGATCAGATTGGGAGTGCCAGCGCACCCCAAGGGAAATAAATGGGAGACAGGCTTCATAGGAGATGGAAGGAAACAGAGGAACTAGGAGTAGCAGCCTCGTTCAAACCTATAGCTACTCACCCAAAAGACAAAGTTAAGTGCCTCAAGTCATGACAAGCAACTTGCTCTAATGCTATGTTAAATTTCTAAAGGATACATTAGGCCATCAGGAGCGCCACTCCACTAGATACCTCCAACGACAGTCAAGCTAATCAACGTGCATCAAGGCACTGGGCCCAAACCACTGAAGAGCTATTCTAACTTTGCCACCAGTACAGATTCTGACACTAAAGTTGCAATGATGATAAACTTTCTGCCTTTTTACTAAAGACCTCTCACCCTCTAATGTTGACTAATGCTCAAACTATGACTGAAGCTTTTCATAAACTCCTATGGATTCAGATTTTTCACCACGGTGGATTCTCTGATGTCGAATGAGACTTGACCTCTGAATAAAGGCTTTCCCACACTCATTACATTGATAGGGTTTCTCCCCTGTGTGGATTCTCAGATGTTGAATGAGACCAGTGTTCCCATTGAAAGCTTTCCCACATTCTTTACATTTATAGGGTCTCTCTCCAGTGTGGATTCTCTGATGTTCAATAAGGCCTGACTTCTGACTGAAAGCCCTCCCACACTCATTGCATTTGTAGGGTTTCTCCCCAGTGTGGCTTCTCTGATGGCCAATAAGATGTGAGCTCCGCCTGAAGGTTTTCCCACACTCATCACACTCATAGGGCTTCTCCCCAGTGTGGATTCTCTGATGTCCAATGAGGTGTGAGCTATGACTGAAAGCTTTCCCACACTCATTACATTCATAGGGTCTCTCCCCACTGTGGATTCTCTGGTGCAGAATAAGACCCGCACTCTGACTGAAAGCCTTCCCACACTGATTGCACTGATATGGCTTCTCCCCAGTGTGGATTCTCTGGTGCAAGATCAGGCCTGTGTTCTGACTGAAGGCTTTACCACACTCCTTACAGTGATAGCGTTTTACTTTGTTGTGAATATCCTGATGGGAAAGAAGGGCTGACCTGTAACTGAAGGCTTTACCACACACATTACACTGATAGGGTTTCTCCCCAGTGTGGATTCTCCAGTGGCGAACAAGGCCTGAGCTCTGAGCAAAGCTTTTCCCACATTCATCACATTTATGTCGTCTCTCTTGTGTAGGATTTCCCCGCTGCCTCTCTAATCTGCCCAGAAGGTCTTGGACTTCTCCATGCTCAAGACCCCTGATAACATCCCCGTTGCATTTGGCAGCTGTCTCTCCATGTGGTTGGATTCCAGTAGATATTACCTGTTTTGAAGCTAATTCCCTGTTCTCATTCCTGGTCTCACCACCTGAAATAAAAAATGTAATAAACATCAAGCCAATGTCACTTCCCATTTTTATGCTAGGAGAAAGGAAATGAAGAGGAAAAGGACAGTACATATGAAACATGCATAAGTAAACATAAAGCTTCTGTCTCCAAAATGCTTTCTTAATAGGCGGAGGTAATAAGCAGGGTCAGACAGAAGTAACACAGGCCAACTGGGAAAGAGGCACCATGACAAAAGAGGGTTATTGGAAGGGGAAGTAAAGTCAGGAAGGAATCCAATGAGATAAAGTAGAAGTTGAGAAGTGGGATGGAATATGGAACTACTAAAAGAACTAATGAATGGGACAGAAATGCACAAGTGCTCCAGTCATTAAAACAGAAGGACAGCCAGGCACAGTGACCCACACTTGTAATCCCAATACTTTGGGAGGCCAAGGCAGGAGGATCACTTGAGGCCAGGAGTTTAAGACCAGCCTGGGCAACATAGCAAGACCCTGTCTCACATGTAGTGGCATGTGCCTGTAGTCCTAGCTATTTGGGAGGGTGAAGCAAGAGGATCACCTGAGCCCAGGAGTTTGAGGTTGCAGTGAGCTATGATAGCACCACTGCACTCTAGCCTGGGCAACAGAGTGAGAGTGTCTCTCAAAAAAAAAAAAAAGGAGGCACAATAGGCTTATGTGAGAAAAACAGATGTAAGGATCCTATAGGAACTAGGAGAAGAAATGGGTGAACTCAGAAAGAACTAGAGAGATGTCAATTTCCAACTGGCAAACAGACCAATAGCCAGGTACAAACTGTAAGGAAGTTCTGGATTGAAGAAGAAAAGTTTCATTAAGTCTCAACACTATCCCTCTGTTGGATCCTGAGTTTAAACCCAACTATGTCTTTCAGAAAGCTCATAGCTACCATACACATTTAAAAAAAATAAATAAAACATTTTAAGTGATAATAATAACCACAGCTCTCCTTACCCAGGGAGAACATGTTTCTGTAATTCTCTGGCTTGTTAGCTCTACTCAGATTCTTCTGTGATGGATCAAGAAGCCACTCCTCTCGAATGAGGGACACAGCCATGTCCTCGATCTTCTCCAAAGTCTGAAACACAATAAGATTCCCATTTGGGGACGGGACTGCTCCAAAGCTCAAACCTACAAAGATCCATCAGTGTTGGGATAGGATTAAGAGACGGGAATGTATTATATAAAGGGATCTGAATAACCAGGAAGAAGAGGAAAGTGCATTTGATTTATTGGGGGGAAATCCAGGATCAATCTAGCTCTATGCAAAAGAATTTGGGGCAAGTTCTTGGGTAGGTACTACTACAAACAGTCCAGACATAGCATAGATGCCACAAACACTGCCAAGCAGAGTTATGGCGTTTCAGTGAGAAAGAGCACAACTCACCTGGAACCCTGCCGTTAGAAGTGTAGCTGTCATTTCCTGGTCTCCAGAACTTCCTTTCTGCGAAGGGGTAGGACTCTGAGAAGTAGAGAAGGCTGAGAGAGGAGAAAGGAGTTTGAGTGAGACCAGCCCTGTCTTGTGATTGTGGGAACGAGCACTCACCCATTCCAAATCACATGTATTTCAGCAAATATGCATGTCAAAGATTTTTGCATACAAAGTGCTGATACCTTGGACTCTGAGCCCATACCTATGGTTGCCCACAAAACATTTATACTTTAATGTCCCTGAACTCAGCCAGAAGTTACACTCAAAAATAGAAAGTATTCTGGTTTTCTAACAGGAATCGCTTTTCAATTTCTTCTCTAACACCAAAACTATTTCTATCTTTGTGCTTGTATACAGTCATTTATTTAGGTCCTGCTCTCTTGACAAACTAAATATAAGAACCAATATATCTCTATTAACTCATTTACCTTTCTGAAATGCCTATCATGGCTGCCAGTATTTGCTTCCTACAGATATCAGACAGCTTATTACCAAAATCAACATAGATTACTGTGTCTCAGGCAACAAGTATTATGACTTTAGATAAGCATATTATTAACTGAAAGTGTTTCTGTACTTCTATAGAAATATTAAAAATTCATATATATAAAACAAACTACTATCAACCACATAAATGAAAAAATACGAAATATGGGGGAAGATGAGACTGGAACATCTCATTCTGCAAGAAAGTAAGAAAATTTGCAAAAACTAATGGGAAAATGTCAAAAAGACACAGGACCCAGACTGAAGGGACCTCCTTTGGCCAAATCTGAGATGATTTAAACATCAAAACAAAGATAATAACAGAATATTTATGATATAAATAGAAATTTATGAGTCTATACTGACAAATAATAAAAAAATAAAATGGGGAGAAGAGAACACTTTCCCTTATAATAAACAACAAATAAATGTAGAAGGAATGACAGAAAATCACTTAGTTTATAACCATCTTTGTAATCAATGATTCAGTCAACAAGCATCAAGGAATATTAAAACTAGTGTTTTAGTAACAAAAGTTTAATGAGGACTAGGGTATTTACACAGACTCAAGCGTATCTCCTCACAAACGCTTATTAAGCACAATGGGAAAAATAACTTTACAAGGATTAAACTAGCAACACTAACCTTAACTAAGTCATCAAAGATAATATCACCAATAACAGGACAAATTCCTGTGTAACTCTGAGGAGTACAACATCACTTACTGAGATTTAGGTTGTATATACTTTGTAGGGTGAGGTGTTCCTGACAAATACATACAACCTGAATCTAAACATGAGGAAATATCATGCAAATATCATTGCACTGCATGCAATATCATGCAAATTGCAGCCATTCTACAAAATAACACACCTGTACTTTTCAAAAATGTCAAGATCATGAAAGGCAGAGAAAGGTTGAGGAACTATTCCAAATTAAAGGAGACTAAAGAGATATGACAACTAATTGCACAGTGTGATCTTGGACTAGACTGGACCAGAAAGAACATTATTGGGACAATTGGCAAAATACAAACTGTGGACTAGATTAGTATTGTATCAATGTTACTTTTTTCTTTTATTTTTTTTGAGACAGAGTCTCACTCTGTCACCCTGGATAGAGTGCAGTGGTGTCATCATAGCTCACTACAACCTCAAACTCCTGGGCTCAAGGGATCCTCTTGCCTCAGCCTCCCGAGTAGCTGGGACTACAGGTGTGCGCCACAACGCCCAGCTAATTTTTCTATTTTTAGTAGAGATGGGGGTCTCACTCTCGCTCAGGCTGGTCTCGAACTCCTGAGCTCAAGCAATCCTCTCACTTCAGCCTCCCAGAGTGGCAGGATTACAGGCGTGAGCCATCACACCCGGCCAATGTTACGTTTCTTACTTGTGATAAATTTAGTGTGGTTATTTAAGAAATGCCCTTGTCTGAGGAAATCCATACTGAAATATTTGAAAATAAAATGGTATGATGATACCAGCAAAACCTCAAAAATGCCTATGTTGTCAATGTACTAGATAACAAAAATGTGTTGATACATAAAAATTCCCAAATCCTTTAGTTTGTTCATGAGTTTATCACTGAGATGAATAGTCTGTGTTTGAAGCCTAGGTAAGTATTTAAGCACAGATATTAGGACTGGAATATACACAAGATTTTAGTTCCTGGTTCTCCAGGTATCCCAAGTGTACTTCTTTTCTTTCTACTTCCCCCTTTCTTCATCATTGAAATCTGGCTCCTCACCTCTTTCTTGTGGCCCTTGGGACACTGGAGATTTATGCTGGATTGCCGCAGGTTGGAGCTGAGTACTTGGAGCCTCTGATGCAGATTCTGAATGTATCACTTCCTCCCAGAGTACCCTATGTCCATGTACATGAGCTGGGACCTGGAAACAATGAGATAGATTACAAGGAATCTTTTTGTGAAATGAAGTGAACAACATGAGAGGACCAAGAGCACATCTATAGGGATACATGCTTGAGGAAGGAAACAGCACAATCTCATTTACTTCCCAGGGACAGTAAGGAACACAAATATGTGGACTAGCACAGAAAGAAAGGCATCATTTCTGCTTAGTACTGAAGGAACACATTTCTGCTGATGCCCTCCCTGCTACACAGAACACCAATATTTTAAGTTCCCAAGGCAGGGAAAAAAAAAAAAAAAATAGAAACTTAAAGTAGTGCTATGCAATGAAAAAAACCTTTTGATAAGGAACTAGGAAGCCTGGGTTCTGACCTCAGATCTACCTTTAATTATTTGGATGTCCCCGAAAAAGTAATTTAAGCCTCGTAGGCATTAAGTTCCCATGTGGCAAAGAAGAGCAATAATACACTGTAGGGATGTTATGAGGAAAAAAAAAATGGATTAATACCCTTTACAAAAATAAAAAGAACTCTACAAATACAAGCTATACTACAACTATTTTTGTCCTTATCCAACAGAAACTGATACTAAGCATTCGCTCTCCCACTACAACGACAACGTCCTTCTTCCCAGCTTCCAGGACTCCCAGTCACAGCATGCACACCTCCTTCTACTTACTGGTCGTCCCAGTATATCAATCTGCCTTTCCAAATCCTCTAATAGAGTCACCACCTCCTCTCCGTTCTCTAGTTGATGTTCCTTAACCAGAGTCTGGAGCTCCTCAGGTAGGATGGTCAAGAACTGCTCCAGCACCAGCAGCTCCAGGATCTGCTCCTTGGTGTTCAAATCTGGCCTCAGCCACTGATGGCAAAGTGCCCGGAGTTGGATCAGAGCTTCTCGGGGTCCTAGTGTCTCCTGGTAACATAACTGCCTGAAGCGCAGGCGGAACAGTTCTTGGCCAGGAGGGTTACCTTCATGCAGACTAGATTCCTGGTCCCAACCATGATCCTCCTCTACCTTCACAATTACAAGGTCCTCTTCAGGAGCTTGATCTGGTGGAGATGAGGCTGAAAGCTTTCTTAATTCTTCAGCCATTTAGTGCCTGAAAAGCTCAGGAGGCTCTGCGTCCACTACCTTCTTTATCTTCTTAACAGATGAACCTTCTGAGAGCCTCTTTTCTAAGGGTACTTCTTCAGGAAGAGAAAATGATAAATAGTGTTAAAGCAAATCGAAAGTCTTAGTAACTTACAATATCTTAACAAGCTCTCTACCATGATATGGACCTCATGGCTCAGCCATTTAAATGATCCTCTCCACTGTTCCAGAAATAACTCCTTACCTCCTTATCTTTCTGCCATGCCAGCCATGCCAAACCCATCCAGAGAATAACCTCTTTCTTCTGCTTTCATCTATACATTTAGGGATGAGGAACACGGCTAAACAAAGTCAGGACTAGGACTAGGTGAAATTCTGTGTATAACCTCAGCTGGCCTTCAATGCTGCTCACTTAACTCCTTTTAAGCATTTGTTTCACCAGCTGTACTAAACCATTTCTACACACTTCAGCTCTCAACCTCTCCCTCATGTTCAACAGATAAAAACCAGGTGCAGTGGCTCACACCTGTAATCCCAGCATTTTGAGAAGCTGAGGTGGGGGAGGATTGCTTGAGGCCAGGAGTTCAAGACCAGCCTGGGCAACATAGTAAGACCTCATTTCTAAAAAAAATTAGCTGGGCATGGTGGCAAGCACCTGTGACCGTAGCTGCTTGGGAGGTTGAGGTAAGAAGATTACCTGAGCCCAGGAGTTCAAGACTGCAGTGAGCTATGATCACACCACTGCACTCCAGTATGGGCAGCAGAGAGAGACCCTGTCTCAAAAATCAAAAAAACCCCAAAATAATCAGATAAGACTAATTTTCATATGAGCTAGCTCAAGGCATTGTCAAGAATTTTCCCAACACCTTCCTTTATCCTACTTGTACTCCCCATCTTCCCTATTCTCTCAAGGCTAACCTCTTCTACTATGGAGCTTATGTCCAACTCAAGAACTCTCCCAAGAAATCTCAATGCCCTATCAAAATCTACAACCCAAAAGTCTAATCCTATACACTAATGAGCTTCCAGAATGTTATACAAATAAAATCATATAGTATGTAGCTTTCTGAGTCTGGTATCTTTTACTTAGCGAAATACATGTGATGTTAATCAATGTTGCATCTATCAGTTTATTCCTTATGTGGATGAATGTTTACCCATTCCCCAGTTGAGAGATATGAGTTGTTTCCAGTTTTTGATTACAAATAAAGCCACTGTGAGCATCTACACGAGTTTTTGTGTGAATATAGTTTTCATTTCACTTGGGTAAATATTCACAAGTAAAACTACTGGATAATAAAATACATGTATGTATAACTTTACAAGAAACTGTCAAACTGTTTTCCAAACGGGCTGTAACACTTTGCATTCCACTAGCAATACTTGAGAATTGCAGCTGCTCCCCACCCTAACCAGCACTTGATGTGTTTTTGTTTTTAATTTTAGATATTTTAATAGGTATGTAGTAATATTTCATTATGGCTTTAATATCTCATTTATGGTTTAAATTTGCACCTCCCTACAAATAATGCTGAGCATCTTCGTACGTGCTCATCTACCATCCATATATTTTCATTAAGTTTCTGTTCAAAACGTTTGCCTATTTTTTAATTTTTTTTAATTAAGTTTAGAGAGTTCCTTATATATTCTGGATACAAGTCCCTTATATGATTTGAAAGTATTTCCTTTTTCATTCTATTTACAGTACCTTTTGAAGAACAAAGGTTCATAGTTTTTTGAAGCTTATTTTTTTCTTTTAGGAATTATGCTATTGGTGTCATATCTAAGAAATCTTTGCTTAACCCAAGGTAATAAAGATTTTCTTCTAAAAGTTTTATAGTTTTAGGTTTTACATTTAGATCTATAATTTCGAGTTAATTTTTGTATAGAGTTTGAGGTATAGATGGAGGTTCTTTTTTTTTGCGTACAGATATCAAATTGTTCTAGAACCATTAGTGGAAAGGATTATCCTTTGTCCACTGAATTGTCTTTGTATCTTTCTCAAAAAATCAATAGACCATATACATGTGGGTCTATTTCTGGAATCTTTATTCTGTACCAGTGACCTAAATGTCTATCCTTTCACCAACACAAAACTGTCTTGATTAGGTGATTTATTTACTTAAGACAGGGTCTTACTCTATCAGAGTGCAGTGGCATGATCATAGCTCACTGCAACCTCAAACTCCTGGGCTCAAGGGATCCTCCTGCCTCAGCTTCCCGAGTAGCTGGGACTACAGGTGCATACCACCATGCCGGGCTAATTTTTGTTTTTTGTACAAACGGGGTCTGTCTCTTGCTCAGGCTGGTCTCTAGCAATCCTCCAGCCTTAAGCAATGCTCCTGCCTCAGCCTTCCCAAGAACTAGGATTACAGATGTCAGCCACTGCGCCTGGTCTTCATGTGGCTTTTAAGATCTTGAAATCAAGTAGTACGAGTCCTGCAATTTTGTTGTTTTTGAAATTGTTTTGGCTTTTCTAATTCTGGTGCCTTTTGATATGCATTTTACAATTGGCTTGTTCATTCCCACAAAAATATTCTGGAATGGGATTTGTGTTGAATCTATAGCTCAGTTTAGGAACAATTGATATCTTAACAATACTGAGTTTTCCATTCTGTGAACACAGTATATCTCTACATTTAAGTCTTTTTTGACTTCTTTCATCAGTGCCTCAACAAACTATTCTTAAAGGACAAAGTGAAATACTGTTGCCTTTAAAATCCTTTCCTGGTGATTCCAACTGGAAGTTATTTCCCTCTTTATACTTCTGCTACATAAATGTGTACTGTTTTAATGTTACTTATCCCATAACTGTATATTATTAGTTGCAAAGGAATTCTGACTTCACATCTTAATTGAATGTTCCCCTTAAGCAGAGGTACCTATCTTATTGATAGACCCAAAGAACATTAGAGGGCTGTATTTACAATACTTAACAGAAAATGTGTCTGTATTTGCTATAAGGTTCAGAAACAAGACCAAATGTCCAAAACGAGGCCAATTTCATATCTCTACTTCTTTGTGAAATATACGTCTATAGTTTCTGTCCTTGGCATAGACGTCTCTTGCCTATGGCTACAGTGGTAACTGGTCATCTTACCTTTGGTTATCCTTTTTTCCCATTTATGTTCCACAATGCTGCTGTGGGTTAAAATTATGTCCCCCCAAAAGATATGTTGAGATCCTAATCTTTGGTACCTGTGAACATGACCTGACTTGGAAATAGGGTCTTTGCAGATGTAATCAAGTTAAGATGAAGTTATACTGGACTAGGATAGGTTCTTAATACAATATGACTCGTATACTTTTTTTTTTTTTTTTTGAGACAGAGTCTCACTCTGTTGCCTGGGCTAGAGTGCCGTGGCATCAGCCTAGCTCACAGCAATCTCAAACTCCTGGGCTCAAGCAATCCTACTGCTTCAGCCTCCCAAGTAGCTGGGACTACAGGCATGCGCCACCATGCCCAGCTAATTTTTTCTATATATTTTTAGTTGTCCAGCTAATTTCCTTCTATTTTCAGTAGAGACAGGGTCTCCCTCTTGCTCAGGCTGGTCTCGAACTCCTGAGCTCAAACAATCTGCCTGCCTTGGCCTCCCAGAGGCCTCTTTTCTTTTTAAGAGGAACATAGATGCTCAGAGAGGACATGTGAAGGATTAGGGCAGAGAGGTCACAGATACTATTAAACTTCCTACAGTGCACAACACAGACCCCCCACAACAAAGAATTATTTGGCCCAAAGTGTCAATGCCCAAGTTAATAAATCCCAGTCTAGCTGAAATCATTCAAGTCCAACTCTAACTTATCTACTACCTTTTTCATGAGGTGTTCTCTGTCAACCTCCCAGCCCCCAGGTGCTTATTCCTGCCAAAGTATTTTTTACATAGTCCAAATATAGGACTTATCACATTGTGCAGAGTATTGGGAATGTCTGCCTGTGGCCATGGCCTTCTTGTAAAGTTTGTTTGCAGAAGTAACGTTTATCTTTGTATCTCAGGCAGCACCACAGAGAATGGAGCCAAGCATAACCAAAGGCAGCATATCCAAAAGCAGCTGGCAAGAGATGCCTAATATCGAGATAACACCACAGATCTATAGCCCATAAAGACAGAGGCACTTAGGAAGAAAATCAGATTACTGTACATGTAATTCCTGACATGAGTCTTAAAAGCAGTGCTTCATTATCTTTCAGGTTTTTTTTGCATGCGGGGGTGGGGGGGGTTGGTTTATACTCTTCAACCTAAAGAAAACACAGAACTGTATGTGCCTACAGGCACAAAATTTTACATTCAATTTCAGCAGAGTTTACAGACGAAAACCCATCCAAGAATGTCAAGAAGATTAACCAAAAAAAAAAGAAGAACCCTATTTAGAAAGTGTGTACAGAATAGGAAGGAAATTTGAAAATTATCTTTAAACTTAGACAAGGCTGGGAACAATAGCGTAGGGAATAAACTACAGATTGGAAGAACCAAGGAGCAAGAGATAAAGTTAAATACAGCAATTAACCTAAGGAGTATAATTCATGGATTATGACTTTATACAGAAGTGGTGGGATTGCTAGACTAGCGAGATTTGGGGGAAGAATAGAGAGTTTGGGCAAGATGTTATTTTGTTGAGGGTGTGAGATAAGGGTAATCAATTTTGTTTTGAACAGATATGGATGTTCCTAATTTTAAAATAAAATTATTTAATTTTTAAAAGCAATTAAAGTTTAACAAATTCTTAAATTTTGTTAAAATAACTACTTACGGTTTAATGTTAAAATTTAAAGGTCATCACAATGGGACATGAATTCTAAGGTCTAATTGCTTAGAATGTGATACTATATAGTTATAGTTCTACCATGTTTTCTTATAAATTTCATTAAAGCCAAGGTTCATTTTTAACTACTCAACAACTGGACATCTTACAATCAATCCTCATCAATACTAGCTATAAAATATTTCAACGTGAAGTGTGCAGCATTCGAGAACTTTATATTGTTGATGTGGTTAAAGTCTCAATAGTTACAGATAGAAGTCATATGAAGGTTTATTCATATTTTATACCACAGGAGCCAACAGGTCTTGTCCATTCCTGATCTTGATTATTCTTTTTAGTGGCTAATTTTCCATTTTTTTGTCTCTTCCCTCTCTAATCAGCCAGTTTTTGAGAATTACCACCTATAAATGAGTACAAAATCAGTCTGCTATGTACCTTCCTCTCAAAAAGTTTTGAGTATACACATCTGTATCAAGTTGGTAAGCACCTTGTGGATGAAGACCAATTCTTTTGTATTCTCCTTAACACCTCTTCAAGTTTATTGATTTATGAATTTAAAATAGATAATCTTTAAAGCTTATTCTGGATCTTAAATGCTATAATACTGTGAACTATTGAAGACAACTTTTAAAAGCATTATTTTTTCACTAGTTGTTGAAAATTCTTCAGACTAAGTCTAAATTGAGAATTGTTTGGGAACTGAAAACAAAACAAAAAAATATTTTCCAGGATTTAATTTCCAGAAAAGGTAGGTGAAGCAAATACTATACTTTCTAGTTATCTGAAATTGCATTAGCTGAAAGTTTTTAATATCCTACCATATTTTACACTTATCCAAAACAGAAATACAAAACATGTATGCATTTGCCAAAACAATGATTGCTACATAAATATACTCAACTGAACTAATCAAACAACAAAGATATATTTTTGAAGGTGGTGGTGGCAAGTCAAGGAGCCTGACAAAAATTACTCATGACTGACCTGGGTTTTGGAAATGGGGACCCTCCCAAAGAGTTAACAGACATCTACTTCAGTTAGCTTTAATAAATGAAATAAGCAAAGTATTCTGATGTTGAATTTTATATTACTCCGAAGTTTTAAAAAATGTTTCTTTTGTACAATTATCCAGTCAACACACCACTAGTCTCTGAATACGCTAAAAGGAGAATAACTTAACAGCAAAAATAGAAAGGTCCATAGATAACTGGGGCTTCCAAAAGCAAAATAGGTATTTTTCAAAAAGTTAGAATTTTATTGCGACCGAAACGTAAAACGGTGCTAAGTGAAAACAATTCAGACCATGGAAATAGCTGGATAAAAGATAAGGAGGGGGAAGTTCCCTACTTTAAAACAAATAAGATCTACTAAAAAATAATACCATAAAATAATTAGCTATAAAGAAAGCAAATCTTCATAAAAGGTTCCCTCACAAAAAGTTTGGGGACACGGACTCGGCCTGCGCTAGCAACTAAGGCGGCCCCTCACAGTCCGAATCAGTCTACCACCCCACAGGATCCCTCTTCAGACCCCTCAGGCCTGTCCTCAGCCGCGGCCTAGTCCAGGCACAAAGCGCCCCCTTTCCTCCGGTCCACAGCACGACCATACTCACCGTGAGTCCCAGAGGCAGCCCGGGGTGGGGAAGGAGGCTGCAAAGTAAGAACAAACTCGGAAGAAGGTCAGGGGAAAAAGGGGACAAAAGCAGTACCAGGACCAGGTCCCTCCAGCCACTAACTTCCAAACCTCCGGAGGCACAACACCAGCCAGCACGAATCCTGCCCCAAAGGCACTTCCGGAAGCTCTCTAGGAATACTGGAGGTCTGAAAGCTCTATGGTCTGTCGATGGAGGGGACAGGGGCCAACACGCTCCTCACCCACAGTACGTTTTGCCTTGGGTTTCTCCCTCATCTGCGCTTTGCAGGGTTGCGCTGCTGCTGGGGACAGTGACTGTCCTGGGGAATAACGGACTTTAGCGTCCCCTCCGCCTCTCGAGCCCGTCTGGCTAACGCACGTTCGCTGGCAAGGGTAACGGTCCCCTGGGGGCAAATCTGCTGGCGTGCGCAGGCCGGGGCTGAGAACTGGAGGAACCTGGGAAAGCAGTGGAGCAGGGAGCATTTTATGGATCCTTATGACGCTAATTGACTGCACTCGCGTTTGGCCCTATCAGATACTCCCTTGTACTTTACTGTTTTCACTTCATAAATATATACAGTCCTCCCACATAGACTGCAAATTTCTTGAAGAACTCTTCTAATCAGTTATAGTTCTGTGAATTCCCTATGGCATGGCAGCTAGTACACTTTGTTAAGTATTTAAAAAATTGTAATTAAAAATAAATTTTTTGAATCTTTACATATTTTCCACCCTTTCTTGGTGAATTTCAGTCTCTTACAAAACCTGCTTTGCTGCATAGCTGTTTTAATGCTAATCTATGATGTAAACTTCAGGAGTAGAACCTTTTAATACCACAAAATTTAGGACACAGATCTATGTTCATTCTTTATATACCTGTTGTGTTAAAGCCTTTAACTTTTCAGATTAAATAGGATTTTAGGGGGGTAGAGGTTGTGGGAAGTGTCTTATTTCTGTTGTTTGGGTCCCATCTTTTTATTCCCTTCAGTGCCTTTCCTAACTACCTATTTATTGAGTTCTCAGGTACCGTTCCAGTCTTAATTTCCCTTTATCTGCTCCCGCGGGTAGCCACCACCGATCTTACTATCCCTTCCCCATTCCTAACTCCCACATATTTTGTCCACCCACCACGTAGTTTTCATTTGTTTTTAAGGGTTTTGCCATCTTGTCATCACAACAAAAGAAGTAAACCATAAACAACAAGAAGTTACAGTGCTAGTAGACTTTTTCAGTGCACTTACTTTTGCTCTTTATTTCACAGTTCTTGCCTTCCAACTGGGATAGTAATTGGAGGTAACTGGCAACAGACTAGAACTCTGTTTCTTTTTTCATATTTAAAAAAGAATTTTTTAAATCCAAAGTTGTGCATATATGTAGTTATACAGATACAATGTGCACACAACTGTATCTGTACATACTTGTGCACACAACTGTATCTGTACATACTGTGTACATAGCTGTGTACACGTAGGAAGTAAAATAGCATCGTGGCCTAGGCAGAGAGTTCTCAAACTGGACATACAAGGCACTGATAACATAAAATTGATAAATTTGACTTCAAAATTTTAAATCTTCATCAAAATCTTAAATCCTAAAATTTAAATCATCAGAATTTAAGTCTTCTGCTAAAGCACCATTAAGAAAGTAAAAAAAGACTACACGTTGGAAAATATTTGCAATACGTATATGTGACAAAGAACTGGTATCCACAATATATCAAGAACTATCACAACAAGACAATCCAGCACAAATAGGCAAAAGATTTGAATGTATGCTTTACAAAAAAATTAAATGAATGGCTAGTAAGTACATGAAAGAGTACTCATCATTATTCATCAGGGAAATGCAAAATTAAAACCCCAGTGAGTTATCACTATTATCAGTCATATCAATTTCTAAGTTATACAAGGCTAGAGAGGCTTTCTTGATATACCCAGATGAAATATGGAGATAAAGGAGAAATCATCAGAGCCAGATTTCTCCACTGAAATGTTGCTCTTCTCCATTAATGTAACTATTCTCAGTTTTAATTATCTCATACGTAGGTGACTGCAGTCTTGAGATAGTCTTCCTAACTATCCAAGGCATGGTTACCATGTTCATGCCCTTAAATATTATCATTCTCCCAATCACTAACCTGAATGGCTCCTTATCTCTTACTAAAAAATCTGAACTTCTACTTGCCTTTTATTTTTTATTACATTTTTAAAAATTCAAATAAGGCCAGGTGCCGTGGCTCATGCCTATAATCCTAGCACTCTGGGAGGCTGATGTGGGAGGATTGCTTGAGGTCAGGAGTTTGAGACCAGCCTGAGCAAGAGTGAGACTCCATTTCTACTAAAAATAGAAAAAATTAGCCAGGCGTGGTGGCTTTCACCTGTAGTCCCAGCTTCTTAGGAGGCTGAGGCAGGAGGATTGCTTGAGCCCAGAAGTTTGAGGTTGCTGTGAGCTAGGCTGATGCCATGGCACTCTAGCCCAGGCAACAGCATGAGACTGTCTCAAAAAAAAAAAAAAAATCAAAATTAAACATGAAAAAATTATAGCCCGGAAGTATGTAAAGTTAAAAAAAAAAAAAACTGGCATCTCTACCCCCAAATGCTATTACCTGGAGTGTTGGAAGACAGTTCTCCAAGGGGCTCTTGAATTTCTGCAAAGATTGTGGCAGACTTGTCTTTCAGATTATCTTTTCAAGGATGTTTGTATCTCCTTCTAGAGTAGATTTGTTTCCTGACCAGGATAATAAGGATAATGTCTTATTCTGGGGTAAAGTTTAGCAAAGATTGGGTTTTCCTAAGCTTGGGGTTCCTCTGCTAGGATAAAAGCCCACTGTGTGAGCTGCATCTACTTGGGCTTCTCCACATCACTTCTGTGGGCTTTGGGGACAAGGGAACACAAAGCTTGTAGCAGCTGCTTTTCACTCCTGAGCTCACTACTAAAGGAATGAATAATTACTCAAAACACATAGTGTTAGAGAGAAGGGGAGAGGCTAAAGTCTGAAGGAGAAAATGGCCTCCTCAGCTAACTTCCTCCCCATATTTATTTCCAAAGACACGTGCAAAGGGTCAGGGCCATTTGCTAATTCCTTTAACAACTTCTATACAGGTCAGCTGTTTTCAGCTGACCTTTGCACACAGCAAACAAGCAGCTTCTGGCAGGCATTTTCGCCTGACCTTTCATTCACCCTGCTCATGTTCTTTCCATCTATCCATTCTTTCTTCTAGGCCCAGGCCCCACATGTCCCCCTTTTTGTTTATTTAAAATTAGAGACCGAGTGAGAATAGGAGAAACAGATGTAAGCTTCAGCCAGTGTCTTTTCATAATGGTGCTGGGAGGTCATCAACTGGTAGATCTGTCGTCCTAGAAAGTAAAAAGACAGAAAGTGACAAGACCAAGCACAACCGATTGATAATATATTTTTGGGTGGTCATGGGAATGCACCATGTTACATTATGGAAGTTGGTAACACACACAGGAGGATTAGAGGAATGATAAACTACTGATCTTGATATTAAGCCAGTCTGTTCAATTATTTTGCCAGGAACATGGAGGCAACCATACTCCTCCAGTCCTGTTTGAGTCATTGGTAGACAGAGGGATCTCCGAGTCCCACCCTGTTACGGGCTTAAACACAGGCGGGTTTAAGACATGAGCCCAGTAAACTGTGGCTGTACTGCATGGGAGAAATAAAAGGAGAAAAAGGCTGCAAAGCAGCCCTCAGGGTACCTGACTGCTATTACGGGCAACAATAGCCAAATATGCCAGAAAAATGTTCCCCAGGGTAGAAGGAGCCCCCAATTGTGTCATCATAGCTGAGGCCTGTGTCTCTAGTTGTTTCTATTGACCCCACATGATCCTGGGTGCCATCACGGTGTTACGTGTCTGTCGCAGCAGGACCCCCATTGGCAGCAGCTGGAGGGAGAGACGTTTCATTTGTGCAATCCAGCTCATCATATAGGCGAACTCGTCTGGAAGGGAACCACTCTGGACCTATAGAAGTTTGAACACAAACATATCCTCTTCCCCATGTTCACACACCAAAAGGGCCATCCCAGGTTCCTGTGGAGTCCCTGCCACACCCACATGCTGTCAGGGCTTCGGTTGGGATCCTCAAAGGGAGGTGTAATGACAAAGGACCGTGGTGGAGGGTGGCTGGAGACTGGACAAAGTCAAAAAATTAACAGTGTATAATGCTTTGCTACTCTTTGTTGTGGAGGGGCAGAGTACGCCCCCTTTTGTTTTTCCAAATAATTTTTTAGGGTTTGGTTGGTCTGCTCAACAACTGCGGGTCCAGTAGGGTCATGTGGAGTGCCAGTGATGTGACAAATGTTCCAGTCCTGTAAAGTAGTCTGAAAGGCAAGTAGTCTGCGGTGTAGCAGGGTCCATTATCAGTCTTTACAGTATGAGGAAGCCCTACGTAAGCGATGGAGTTTAACAAATAAGTGATAGCATAGGAGACACGCTCACCCGATAATGGAGTGGCACGAATCATTCCTAAGTGTCAACAGCTACATGTAGATATTGAAGGTGCCTGAAGGCAGGGGAATGAGTAATGTCCATTTGCCAGAGTGAGTTAGGAATTAAGCTGAGAGAGTTAATCCCAGGTGATAAAGGCACACCTTGTACAGCCTAACAAGCTGAGCAGGCACGTATTATGTGACGAGCTTGTTTCTGGGTAATGAGAAACTGTTTAGTAAGTGTTCGAGTGTTTTGGTGAAAGAACTGATGGGACTTTATGGCATTTTTAAAGGCATTAGTGGAATATACATGGTAGGAAACGAGACAATCAACGGCATTATTTCCTTCTGTCAGAGGTCCAGGCAAAGGGGTATGAGCATGAATATAAGAAATAAAGAGGGGGTGTCGCCTGATATCTAATAAGTGCTGTAGAACAAGGAATTGTTGAAGTTTGATTAGGTATATCCTTAATGATAGAATTTTGGATATAGAGAAAGGAATAGAATACATAATGGGAGTGATGTTTAGGGGTTCTAATGGAAATGTTTTTAAAGCTAATATAAGCATCTCTAATTCTGCTTGTTGAGTGGAGGGAAAATTGGAGGTGGATAAATATTTCCAATCACCA